CAAGGTAAAGGGGGGGGGGGGTTCTCTTCAGGGGGGTGGTATGTCAGATTCAGCCGGCATGACATGGCACGGCACAGCATGGTATGGCATGGCACGGCGAAGCGCTGCTCAGCCGCGCCTAGTCAATTTCACCGCCCGGGCGCTAGCCGAGAAAAAGGGGAAGTGAAACTGCGACTGCTTACGGGCAGGTGGCGACGCTTAACTCCAACCGCAAGCGGATACTTTGTATCAGCGCGGCTTCCCTTGAGCGCTGCAAACAAAGGAACACGCAGAGGCTCGGAAGCGAAGCAATCAACGAACGATCGAGAACTCCCGGTTTTGCACGCAAACGGGCAAACCCAACAAAGGCAACAACAGCACAACCCATAGACAGCAATCAGAAAGACAAAAGCACCGGACTGAATCTGCCATTTGGGCAAGAGGGGATTACGGCGGGTAATCTGTAACTAAGCAACGGGTAAAAGCGCAGGAATGGGGAAGCTATAAAATATCATGTAAGCTATGCCAAGCCAACCCTGGCTTTGTCTGTACTTACTTACGTTACGCTTGGGTAAACTTCTTTGCTGAACACACGTGTCATGAGAGTTTCTCTGAGACGAATGGGGTAAACCTTACATAAAGCTGGCTGTACTGCTGAGGCTGCTCACTGGCTTCTGGACTCAGCAACTAGTGGGTGCTCCTCTCCTGTGGTGGCCTCTGGGAGCCCCCAACCTCTATCTGAATACATGAATATCATGTGAAGACCATTCAGAGCCAGAGTCACCCTCTCAGCCACAGTCAGAGAGAAGGGGAACCCAAGTAAGTTAAAACCCCAGCCTGGACTGCAGCTGGACATTTGGTTCTTGGCAGCTTTAATTTCCTCTGTGGTACTGTTGGTTGTGGTTATTTTGCATTATTATTTCATTGATTCATTAGGTATGTGAGAAAGCAATCCTGATTGTGTTGGTTTGCAGAATAAATCACATTCTAGTTCATGGCATTTTGAGGACCAATCAAAATGACACCAAGAATGGGCAAACTTTTGAGTCCACCAGAACTCTTCAGTAGGCCAGGTTACAAAACCAAACCAAACCGAGAATAATGTTCAACGTTGTTAGTGCAATGTTTACATGTTACGACAAAGTTTAAATGCTGAAATGTTGAAATGCGTAACATTTCCATTTCAAAGTCAAATCCAAGTTGGAGGTTGCGGATCCAGCATGGAATTTATGTTAGCCAGGACTGGTATCAGATTAATCTAAATGGTTGCTTTTGCCTTGCAGACAGCAAAAATGCAACAACATCACAGCCCTTGTAGCAATAAGGCTGGAAAATAGTTTGGGTGGTTATCCTGTTCAGGTTTCAAACATAAGCTAGATTTTGATCGGATGGAACAAAAGGGCCACTGGTAGAATGCTATAAGCAGCAATCTAGTATAATTACATCTGATCATCCCATGATTCCGGAAACCACATTCTGCGTGATGTCAAGCTTCTGCGTGGTTTTCAAGAACAGCAAGGCACATCGTGCATTAAACTAATTGGAAAGTTACCAAGACTGCATCACTGTAACCAGATTATTCCTGCATGGGAAAGGTCATAGCTAGCTAATCATCAAAGCTGATTAAAAGTATTCTGTCTCACTGAAGCCTCCCAACTGTTCATTGATCAGGATGGATTTAAGAATATTCTCAAGCTAGAAACCTGTTCCTTTTTTCTTTTCTTTTAAGAGGGAGGACAATTTTATTTTGTATAGGATAGCCCATAGACTATTCACAACACCTTGGTCTTATTCAAAATTCAGCTTTGCTTACTGGCTATCATCCTACTCACTATAGATCTTGGAAAAAGACCTGAATGAAATGATCAAGTCTTCTGATTGAATATTCAGCATAAAATGTTGTTTCCTTGACTTGGCTGCAATCTTAACATTTATCAGAAACTAATTTACAAGGAATATCAATGATAGGTCATTGAAACTCAAAAGGAATAGACAGTAGCTGCTGCTGTGCACAAAAGCATTAATTTCTTCATTTTACTCAGAGTACTGAAGAAACAGGAGCTGTCATTTTAAAACTACAAATTCATACATTTCTTTCATTTGTTCCAAGTACTGTGGGCTAGGCAGAACACATTGATGAGGGTGAAAGAGGAGAGTGCAAAAGCTGGCTTGAAACTCAACATTAAAAAAACTAAGATCATGGCATCTGGACCCATCAGTTCCTGGCAAATAGAGGGGTTAGAAATGGAAGCAGTAACAGACTTCATTTATTTGGGCTCAAAGATCACCACAGATGGAGACCGCAGCCCT